CAACTCTTATCTGCCCCTGGGAGCCCCGTAATGCATAGTGTCATTTCAATATGGGGGTGTCCGCGACACGGTTTATATGCAGGTAGCAGGAGCTGCAGCTGCTTTATATAGCGACTCGTTGCATTCTCCCTCAACCCAAATCCTCAGATCACGCATTTTATCTAAAACTCTAACGTTAACTTGCCTTGCGTTGACTGTAGAGTTGTGGGTGATGGTCACGCAGATGTGTCATGAGATTTGAAGCATTGCTGACTTTCACAGACACTTTTTCTGCACGTGCTGCAAACAGGATAGCCGTCTTCTATCAGCTTTCCCTCTGTATGGGCATCTTCAAATATCCAAAAGATGCCCATACTTCCGACTTTGTCTTCTTTGAGGGATAATAAATGTCATGAGCGCTGCTGTCTCCTCCTTTGGCCATTATTTCAGCTTTAGCTTCAAGAAAGTTTTGGTTGTAAACAACAAAGTGCGCATGTGCCGCCGGCAACTTCAGCAGACGATACGGTGGCTGGTAAGGGTCACCGTACCTACACCGCAGCCACAGTAATCCATAGAGATATATTTTTTTAAAACAAGACGGTTATTATTATTGTCAACTTTTTTACCGGGGTTTACCGCTACACCGGTTACTGTGACAACTCTAATTGATGGCTGAACCCGATCTCCGTTTAAAACATGTGATCTGCAAATTCTGATCAACGCCTTTCAGAGCGGATGAAACCAGCTGGCTGTCGCTGCTGCTGTGGAGCCTGTAGAGACACTGAACGACGCATCGCTTTGCTCCTGCTTCCCTTCTCTCACACTGTTTAGGCACGCAGCAGCAAAAATGTAAACAAACACATCTGCTGAACTTCCTCCTGGGACAACTGATGTAAAGTTCTCATCCTACAACAAAAAAATAGGGCATGGAGGAGTTTTAAAGAAGAAATTCTGAAGGGTGTGTGAGGCGAGTTGTTAAGGCTCGCTGCAGAAAAAAAACACGGAGCATCAACAGTTAAACACAACACTTGTCTGTTTGAGCGTGACACTGCACAAATAACCTATGACATAATTAAAGACATCATGCTAGATCAGCAGCCTGTAAAGACACCTGGTTCTGCTCACTATAGGAGTCGCTTTAGATATTAAATAAATTAACATAATATACCGAAAATTAATCGAACAGAGCTCTTAAATGACACTGAACCAAACCGAATATGATTTTAGCATACAGTTACACTCCTACTAAGTGATTTATCATTTCTGATCGAATTATCAATTTCAGACAAAGTGATCATGTGATCACCAAAGCTATAGTTCTTTGCAGTGATCCTGACTGGCCCAGGATCTCTCGGTCTCTCTTGTGATGGTTTTGAGTTGCTCAAATGGTAATCATGCCCTCTCTCCACTAACCTGCAGAGCTCACCAACCAAAGTGGCATGGTACGAGTGACGCTAACCAATTGGGTTACCTCTCTTCCTCTGTTCACTATGCAGTTGGAGGATGCTCTTAAAGCTGAACTACCTGATGACTCCTACCATTTAGTAAAGAGAAAGATTCACTGGCTTGGAGGAGAATGCACAGAGTAAACTTTTCATGGCTGAGAAAACTGACTACTGTGCTTAACAGCCACCTGTTCACCATCACAGAGATAGGTTACTTCTTGTGATAATGATACATGTCTAAGCTCAGGACTGAATCATCAAAGACTTACATAGCAATTTTTTTATAGAAAATCTGCAAAGAGTGATGTAGAGCTGTCAGGGAAGCAAGTTGAATTTCAGATTTTATTTGTTCTGCAGTTCACCCTGACTTATAGTATTAGCCGTTGTTTAACACATTTGTGGTGCTACAGGAAAAAAATATTCTACTTGAGCATGATATTGTTGTATGTTTTTCACACTGGTTGTGATGAGCTACACTGTAGCCACAGCTTCCCTGAGGCACACTGACAGAGGCGAGTCTGCAGTACATTGGCGCCACCGGTCCCTCTGACCACCACCAGCAGGAAAGGTGGGTTAAGTGTCTTGCCCAAAGACACAGCAACAGACTGAGCGGGGCTCATACCTGCAACCTTCCGATTACAGGGCGAGCACTTAACTCCTGTGCCACCGCTGCCCATTTCTGGAGACCCATAGTCTAGAAGCAGATGGGTGTGACTTAGGCTCCCTCTAACCATAGTAAGTGTAAAGGGTGGTTCTAATCATTAATGTTATGCTGGTTCAATTGTGGTCTAGGCTTTTTGGTGCTGAGCTCAGGTGGTTCATTGGGCTTCAACTGGACTGTGTTTATGTATGTTTATTATAATTTTATAACAAAAGTGTAAGCTTCTAGAAAATTGTAATTGAAATCAAGTTCTCTATTCTGACTAAAAGCAAGTGCAAGTCTATGTTTGCATTAGCAGAAGTCATTTACACTCTCACAGAAAAAATAAAAAACATCAGCAACTTTTGTCGCCTTCAAGATCCAGATGTTGACATTTTTATAAATAGAAGCAAAACACGAGACTATCATTCATCATAAAACCCACTACTTCTGTTTTCTAAAAGTTTCTTTGTGTAGGACAAATGTGATGACAAAGCACTCCATGGACTTGCCATGTGGGTCTCTACTGCCTCTAAACATGAATAAAAACCATCCATCCATTTTCTATCAGTGCCTGGTTCCTAGAATCATTTGCTTACATGAGGCGTTTGCCTTACTGTGACATCATAATAAGGGGCAGAGGCATACAGTAGTATTACCACTCACCTGTTGATGGTAGAGGAGCAGTGACTCTACTGAGCCCCTCCCGGTATCCATGCTCCTCAGCTTAAATCAGCCTATCAAGGGAAGGGTGGGCCTGGTCAGCAACAGCTTGTTTAATTTATAGTGTCAAAGTCCCGAAACTGCTCTTTATGGAATGTACAACAAATTTCAAGTCAAAAGCTGTAAAATCACCTTCTTTTTGACTGAATTTGTGTAAAAAAAAAAAAAACCTCATAGCATAGACCTGGGCTTCCAGCACGCTTTAGTGGTTTCTCTGGTTCAACACACTTGATGTGGTTGAATTACCTGTGCAGCAGCTCATCAGGCGCGGCAGAAGACTGTTAATCACCTGTTGAATGAAATAACGTGTGTTGAAGCAGGGTTAAAACTAAAACGTGCTGGATACTGGCTCTCGAGGCCCGGAATTAAATAGCCCTGGCATACGCCTATTATAAATTAATAAAAAGTCATAATTTGTCCCCTTTGAACTCCACAGCCTACATGAGAATGCTGACCATGCCCATCCCTTTATGACCACAGTGAACCCATCTTCTGACATCTACTTCCAGCACAATAATGCACCATGTCACAAAGCTCAGATCATACATAAATGGTTTCTTGATATGACGATGAATTCACTGCACCCCAACAGCCTCGGCAGTTACCTGATCTTAGTCAGGTTCATAAGCTTTAGGATGTGGTGGAATGGGTGATCACTGATGTAACTGTGTGATTAGATTGTGTTAAAATGAACCAGAACCTCTTCGTTTTTTTCCTAACACCTTGTTGAATCCGTTACAAGAAACCAAGGCAGTTCTGAAGCTAAAAGGTGCTCCAACTGGTAATAAAAAGGTGTACCTAATAAAGTGGTCAATGAGTGTGTACTGACCCAGAGTAAACTGACTAACTTTGATCTCAGCTCGATGGACATGAACTATAGAGGTTGAGATACTGAACACTGGGAAATCAATGTAATGACCTCAGAGAGGGTCAGATGACTGCCAGCCAAACATTCAGTGTTCATGAGTTCACTTCAAACATTGAAAGAGACATTTACTGCCAGTGCATTGACATCCTCACAGAGTAAATACTGTGTATTAATTAAAGAAATGTATTTATATTTTACAATATGGTATTTGGTTTCTACAAGAAGGTGCTCGCTTTCAGGTTCAAAAGGGCTATAGGCAAGAAATATTGTTCATCTTAACAAATATACTGTAAGCCCATCTATCAGCTAATTCCCACTTTAACAAGCCAGTTTGAGGAAACACTGCACCAGTTCACTGCAGTGCAGAGTTTTAATTTTTAGTTTAAACCAAAATATTTTAATTACATATATGTTTTATTCTCAGTTCAGAGGTGGGGAGAAGAGTGTGTGTCTACAAGTCTGATTATGTGTTCTAAAATATTTGAGCATTTAATCAGCTGCGCTGCAGGTTTCCCCATCTCCATAATGTACTTGTGCCCATGCCAGATCCAAAGTTTGCTTTAAGTTGTGCACGTTTTCCCATCAAGTTTCTCTTTATAAATCACAAAGTTTACATGGAAAGTCACTCAGTTTCCAGACCCTGTTTGCAAGCTTTATCAATGAGGCCCTTGGTCACTTAGTGACAGACTCCAGGAAATAAATCAATAGCTTTCCTTTTATGTTACTTGGTCCCTGCAGGGCTGTTCTAGATTGTCCAGATACATTTCACATCATCATTACACTGATAAAGCATTTTTGGAATTATAATAGCTTTCCATCATGTGACTGTCACATTTGATTGACATTTTGTGTTTAGATGATGCTCTCTTTAATCTGAAGAGATGTCGAGGTACTTTACCTTTAGCGTAGTATTCCATTTCATTATTTAACATGCTCAAGACCCACCTTACACGTTGCAAAGCAGCAAGATGGTAATTAATTTACACCCCCCAGAAATTAATCTCTGAATGTTACCGCTTATTGTCCCCCACAAAATGAGATTAAATTTCCGCCCCTGTAAGAAGGAAAAAAATACGTGCATTTAGCTTGCAGCGACTAGCTTGGACTAAAAGCAGGATAGGCCTATGAGGTGGGACGTATCAGACACGACTCTAAGAGATGTAGCTCACTGCAGCAGACCTGTTAATTATAGCTGCAGTGTCGACATCACCAGGAACACTTACGTGTTGTGGTGCTCTCTACGGTGTCGATAGCGTCCAAATAATCCACATATTGTTCGATGTAAACCAGAGAGCCCATAAAGGGAGGACCCGCAGAATCCCACAGGGAGGAACAGACACTTTACCTCCTCAAAAATCCCAAAATGATGTCTCCTCCAGGTCCCAAAGCCCTGAGAAACCAGTAGGGGTCCAGAAACCACGGTGAGACGGAACGCTAGCCTGAGAATTTCTTTTATAAATTAACTACGAATAATCATTTCTTGAATTTAATAAAAGAACAATCGTTTTAAATAAACGTGCCACTTAGTTTGTTGGCGCCGCTACAGGTTCACACTAGTCTACCCGCGGGGGTTGATGACGTAAATTTAACACACTGTAATCTCTAAATCACACTAAAACAGCCAGCCATTGTGGCTAAAACACTTTAATATTCAATATTTGATTTCAAATCACGAATACTACAGCTCATATGTCCTTTAAGAGATGAGAGCAAGCGTGCATTAATTTAATACCCCCCCGTCCCTTAAAATGGACCCAACCGGTCCTGAACTTAACCGTTACCAGATCCGCCCAGCTGTCAGTTTTAACCCTGAATGTATTAAACATCGACACAAGTTAAAGAAGCTGTTTAATTTCCCTTTTACTTCAGGAATTTTGATTATGAAGTGTCAGAGAGAGACTGAGATACGAGTCGATATCTTGAACCCTGATTAGTTTTATACTGAAAATCTTTCAGGACATCGAAAATTTAGTTTCACGAGTTAAATAAAAACATTGACCGTAAACAACCTAGCATTACCTTTAATTGTCGGCAAATGTGGGTACAAACAGTTAAACTTGTTATTCACTTTCAGATTTACAACTCTCATTGGAGTTTTAGTCTTTACATAATCCTTGTACAAGTTATTAGTGTTTTAATTCCTACCCAATCTAAGCATTACAGGATTTTACATTATGAGAGAAAAATCAAGAGCTAGTGTAGTTTAGACAATGCTGCCCTCTATAGCATAAAGCAGGAAGTTCAGGCCAAGTTTTACATAGTGTTTCATGAGTCAATACCAATTCCCACACTGATCACAACACAGTTGGTTGTCCTTCAGAGGCTTTAAGTTTCAACAGAAACACTTAACTCCATTAGGCAAGTTAAGCCAGTTTGAACAGTAAGTCTTACTCAAAATGTAAACAGTTAATTAAAATTAAACAATGGACTATCCAACCTGGAAGAGTTGGATAGCCAAGTTAATTATACATTAGTCTTTTTTATTTTTTATTTGACCTCTTAAGAGAAATTGAGGAGCATTTGTTACCTGGTAGGTTAGATTAAGAACCTTCAGGCTGGGTAGAGCCAGCAACAGCTCCTCCGGAAAGAGGGACAAGGAAACCAGCAGGGAATTCACCCAGGGCCAGATTAACACTTTGTTGTACCCTGGGCAACAATATTCAAGAGCCCCATCATCACGACCCAAGGATCACCATAATATGGTCACATACAGAATATTTTACTGTAATATGCAGTAAATATACTCAATATTTGAATGCCTGACATCACGTAACCCGCTCAGAGTAACCTTTGACCCACCCCGTGTGGACTGACCAATGAGAGGGTCTTATCTTGAGGCCCTCTCTTCATTGGTCAGTCTGCATGAGACTGAGGCCTAGTCCACAGTAGCCGGGGTTTTTTGAAAACGAATATCCGCCCCTCCAAAAACTTGCATCCACACCACCGCGTTTTAAAAACAAACTATCCACACGTACCCGGATGAATACGTTGTTAAGGACATGCCAGACCTGTAGGCGGCAGTACTTCCCCCATTCTTAACCTCGTCCTTCGTCTGTGGTCTTCCGCAAGGAGCAGTAATTCCGCTTGCAAAAACAAACAAGCAGAAAGCGCTTGGACAATTGATGGATCGGGTAGTGACAGAGCGCAGCTCTGAGGGCATCCATGCTGTCGGCTAATGTAAACACAGGTCGCACACGTGATGTCAGCATTTTTTTGTCGCGGAAAGTGACGATGCGGACCTTAAAACTCCGGTTTTGTCTGTCCACACGCAGACACCCAAAACGGAGAAAACACAGATCTTCACTTTGGCCGGAGTTTTTAAAAAGATCCGTTTTCGTGTGAAAAAACTCCGTTTTCGTGTGGATGACAGGCCAAAACGTGGAAAAATATCTACGTTTTGGCAGATCCCCGGCTACGTGTGGACAGGGCCTGACTCAACTGCCATTCAAAGTCATAGGCAGTGAAGCGTCTCTGTGCAGCACAAAAGCTCGGGTGGACAGTTTAATGTAGGGTGATCATATTTCCATTTCCAAAAAAGAGGACAAGGGATCTGTGCCTATGACGTCTCACTGTGGCAATGCCACACAAACCACGTTGGGACCCATTTTTATTAAGAACTACATTAATATCAGATTCTGCCAATAAAAGGGCTCTAAAATAATCCATATGTAAATATTTAGCATATTTACTGCAAAATCTCATTTTTCTGTTTTAGTGCTGCAACAAGGTTTTATTAACAATAACTTATACCTTTTGTTTTACTACACCAGTGGTTCCCAAACTTATTTAGCCATGCACCCCCTTCTATGTCCCGACCATGTTGACGCACCCCCCAGCCCCACATCAGGGCATGGCTATATATATATAAGACGTCACGGACACACACACACACACACTACTTGTTTTCAATTACGTTTATTGGGCCCACTTACATTTTCTTAGGCCGACCCACAAATGAGTTTCTGGCTACGCTAATGGTAACTTTTGACAGACTTCTGAACTCCACAGCCATTACACTTTTCACCTCGCGCACCCCCTAGCGGCAGCTCGCGCACCACACTTTGGGAATCCCATCGGTAAGCTTCCTGTGCACAGATTATTAAGGATGCTTGTTTCCGCTGTGAGATTAGACGATAGGATCAATGATAAAATAAGTTGTCACACACTCCATAGAAACTTTCAGAGAATCCACAAATGGCGACTTTCAAGTGGTTTTGTTACCTTTTGCAAGTTTAGAAAAGCAGCAGATGAGACAGCGTGTCTGATAATTTAGTTTTTCATCTGATAATATTAGAACATGTCAGTAATGTCTGAGGAGCTTTTATAAACACTGTATAACTAATACTCCTGGACAGGGTATGAATTACACAGAGGCTCCTGGGGAGCCCAGTTATGGGGGGTAGGGGTTCATTTTGCCTTGACCCCCAAAATGTCTTGAAACAGCCCTGGGTGTGTGACTGAGTTTTGAAGGTGATCTGAATTGTATCAGATGTATAAATATTACATGTGTATAACTTATTGTTTTATACAGGAAAAACATGTAGTGGAGATAAATCTACCTACATTTTACTTTAACACTTTGTTTTGTTTTCTTGATTTTATTTAACTATTTCCTGTCCTGTTTGTCTCTCATCTTCCTGCATCTCCTCTAAAGTCTCCAGAAAAACTGATGCCTGGATTCTTTTTTCACATCAGTTAGTTTTGAGCACATCAAAGGGATCTCCTGACTGCAAGGCGAAGAAGCACATTTCGATGCTGCATCAGTGATGTGGAGTCACCGCAGCACAGATGATGAGCTCCGCAGTAGCAGAGCGCTTCAGGCACAAATAAGACAAAAAGTAGAGAACATGTGTGGACATGAACGATCGTGTGCTAATAGTTTTTTGGTAGCACCACTCTGAGAATGAACCATGCGCTGGAAGCAGCAGCCTGGAGCGCTGCGCAACAACGATCAGCGCTCTGCAGCTCTCTGTGGCTCTGCTCAGAAGAGTCCATAAATGATGTAATATAGGTAGAAAACTTTTCCAGCTCCCCTGGATGTATATCCAGCTCCCCATAATTCGATCCCTGTTCCTGGATGAAAAACCGGACATTTTCATCTACAAAAACCCCAGTCCGGACACCCCGGACAGAGAGTGAAAAGAACATGTGCGGGGAAAAGAGAACGTACGGTCAACCTTGTTTAATATAAAGTGGGAGATTACAGATGCAGTATTTTGCTCATGCCCTTGCTGCCCTGGGCCCTTTAGAGTTCGTGGGCTCTGGCAATTGCCCAGTTGCCCATATGGTTAATCTGGCCTTGAATTCACCCCAAGGCTGAAAACCATTTGGGAATCCAGCTGGAGCAGGGCCAAAACCAGTGCTAGCAGAGAATTCAGTATCTGTGGGGTATCCTGGTTGAGGCACAGCCAAGTTCATGCCTGGTGCAGGAGCATGCTGGACAGGAGTGGAGGAGCTGGCAACTGGTCTCTACATTTGCCCTGGCTTGGGGAGGTCTCTGTAGGTGCTGTACCTGGGTGCATAGTGACCAGCGGCTGCTCCCTGGCTAGGAGCAAGGCCACCTCCAGCTTTTGGGTCACGGCTCCTCTGGGATTTAGGACCTGTTTGCAGAAGAGCAAGTGTTAGAACTCCTATTGACTGCATATTGTCTAGGATAAGTACAGAACATTTACCTTAAACTGGGAAGCTGTGCACATGCAAGATCAGCAAGGCAAACAGGGGAATGCGAAAGCCACAAACAAAACGCAGGAATTAGTTTTACAACACTTTCAAGTACGGTTCCTCAAGAACCATGCTTACCCCAACAACCTCTGAACAGCCTCCATACTGAATGCTCAGAGTAGAGAGCAGCTCAGGGGAGGGTTTATGTTGACGGAGTCAAGCTGTGACCAATCAGGGCGTAATGAGTTGAGAACAAACAGCTGGTGATACATTGAGAAAAAAACGAGGAGTGAAACATCTGCAGCTGGTAGTCAAACAATTGTCCTTCACTTCACTGGACATGTTTATGTGAAGATTATCATTATTAATTTATTTCTCAGAATAAAACACACATTTTAAAAAGGCCTATAATAAATAAATATAATTTAAATAAGACATTTTAGAACAACAAAACATAAATGAGGAAATATTAACAGGGTTAATATGCTCTACCAAAATGTAAATGTTTCAGTCTGAAACTGCATACGTTTATTTCTCCAGATTCTCAAGTGAGCAAGGTCGGCTGAGCCGATTTATCTCTACTGTTATCTCTACTGGCCCTGAAAGCATGAGCCGATGTCGATGTTTACATTCCAAAGAGGACAGAGAACCTCAAATCAACTGTCCAACTGCTTCACACTGAATTTTGAGTGTGCAAACTACATTTTTAATTTAAAGCATTCACCTTTTTTTTTTTTTGTTTTATATTTTCATTCAGCAGTTATTTCCCCAAACCTTTCTGATTTCTGCTTCAGCCTCTTGGCTGATAGAATATTGTCTTACTTGAGAACAAGGTCTGTTCTAACATGTATGTTTTTTGATACGACCTTGCCGTTTAACCCAGACACAGAGGAACGTGAAAATCTTTGTCAACGCATTTAAAAGCTCCCAAGCTGGGAATACATGAAGAATTAAACCAATTTAAACTTTTAAAATGTAAATTCCCTACAGCAGCTTTAATCTGCTGTCTCATTTTACTTCCAGACAATTTCTCCCCTTGTTCTGATCACAAAGCCCACTAATCGGAGATCTGAACAAGTTTCTACATTTGACAGACGCCAGAAAGATTCAATTGATGACAAACGATATTTTTAGTGTTCAAAATGCAGTTTTGAATTCAACAGGTACTGCCCACCAATGTATGTTCACCCGGGTGCGATTGTCATCCGCTGAACTCCCTTGTCTTATTTTAAAATGTCCGAGACAAAGATTTAAAAAACAAAAATAAGGAGATAAAATGCAATTTGACAGTAGTCACTAGCAAAAACACAAGGCTAATAAAGTAAACCAAGACCTGATAGGATCAACAGGGAAGGTAAGAATAGCCACAGGAACTAAACAAGTATATGATAAAGCTGGAAGAATACTAGCAGAAACCTGACGAAAATACTGCTAAAAAAATGACCTTTAAATATACCTTCTGTAGGGTCCTGCAGTTCCGCAAAGCACTTTCACACAAATGCTGGTGATACCTACTGCTGCACAGAGACAGACTAGGCTAAACACAGATTCCAGTCCCTTCAATCACCAGGTGGTTCAAACTAGCAACCCTGTACTTGCACTTCAGTTCTGCCACAGTTGCAGAAAATTTTTAGACAGAAGGGAAACCTCAGATCTGGAATAAACTTGAGGATGAATTTAGTGTAGGACAGTGGGTAAGAGTACAACATGCAAGGGATTTACTAATATAAGGCCTTGCTGTACAGCTGACATTTAGTGCAGGGTTGGAGTTATTTGGTGTATCAAAGTAATGAGCTTTCATTACAGCTGGGGGGGGGATGCATCACTAATGTTAAGTGTAACAATTAAAGATTGAATATATTGACATCTTTTCCAGTAATTCAGGATCCATAGCTATGGGTTTTAAGAGCTGACATGCAATCATTTTCTTTTATGGTAAATTTGAAATGGCACTAAGTAAAATGCAATGAGTTTCCACTTGGTACATCCTTTGAATATCTCACTTAATTTGTAGTCCATAACTAGCGTACAGTATTTTTAGGTTTTATAGTCTCCCCATGTCATTAGTCAGAATTTTGTGATTCATTCCTACATAAACACCTTTTTGCTTAACATGCTCTTCCCCTCAGTTTCTCATGTCTAAAGTATTGTTAAAAATTCAGACACTTGCTCACTTAAAATATGGTTTAATTTCAAGGACAGATATTTGTACTAGGTTGGCACAGAGTTTTCAGAGAATACTTGACTCAACTTCTTGCTTTCTTTGGTGGCTTTGGAAAGATTTTCTCTTGCTGCCCATAATCAGGAGT